ATGAGAGTGAAAGAGAATACCTAGAAAAACAGGTTTGGATGGAAGAGAGAGAGAAAGAGTAAAAGAGAGAGAAAGATCAATATTATGATTTCAACATGTAAAATAGCCCAAAATAACTAAGTGTAATAAAAGTGTAATAAAAGTATAATAAATGTATAATAAAAGTATAATAAATGTATAATAAATGCAGAATAAAAGTAAAGTAAATGTATAATAAAAGTATAATAAAAATATAATAAATGTATAATAAAATATAATAAAGTATAATAAATTATAATAAAAATATAATAAAAATATAAATAAATAAATAAAAATAAAAAATATAATAAAACATAAAAAAGTATAATAAATGTATAATAAAAGTATAATAAAGTATAATAAAATATAATACAAGTATAATAAATGTATAATAATATAAAAAATAATAAAAAATATAATAAATGTATATAATAAATGTATAAAATATAAAAAAGTATAATAAAAGTATAATAAATGTATAATAAAGTATAATAAAAGTATAATAAAAGTATAATAAATATAATAAATGTATAATAAAGTATAATAAAAAGTATAATAAAATATAATAAAAGTATAATAAATGTATAATAAAGTATAATAAAAGTATAATAAATGTGTAAAAAAGTATAATAAATGTATAATAAAAGTATAATAAAAAGTATAATAAATGTATAATAAAAGTATAATAAATGTATAAAAAAGTATAAATAAATGTATAATAAAAGTATAATAAATGTATAATAAAAGTATAATAAATGTATAATAAGAGTATAATAAAAGTATAATAAATGTGTAAAAAAGTATAATAAATGTATAATAAGAGTATAATAAAAGTATAATAAATGTGTAAAAAAGTATAATAAATGTATAATAAGAGTATAATAAAAGTATAATAAATGTATAATAAAAGCAGCGTTCTCTCCACAGACGCAGACTAAAGCGTCCTCTGTGTAAACTCTTTTATTTAACATATTAAAGTCTTACACTGGAGCCGGAGCCGCCCTTGATCCGTCTGCCCCATTTAAAACCCTCCTTTTCCGATCCGGAGCGGCGAGGAGCTTTTGAATAATCTGTGAAACTCAAATCGCTTATTTTCAGTTCTGTTTTCTGTGGTTTGGTCTTAATTATTTGGCGCCCCGTCCTTCACCCGACTCTCAAACTTAATTAGAACGAACGAAAGAGAAACAGAAAACTCCGCTCCGCAGACTTAACCCGAGAGCATTCGAATAAAGGATGTTTTTAACTTTATCTTCTGTTTGGCGTTGTAAATTAAAAGTGCATTGTGTAACTTTTCAGGTGGAGGAGTGTGCCGCCTTCTTGTCAGCGTGGAGATGGTATGACTTTATCCGAAATGTTTCACAGTGTGGCATTAAACTCATTCAAATCTTGGTGTTTTTGTCGATCATAGAACACGCACAGCTACAGTAAGCGGGGCCTCCTTTTCACAGATCTGACTCGTATCTCGGTCTGGTGGCGTCTCCTGCTCATTTCCATGGAGACAGTTAAGTTTAATATTGTTTTATGAAGCAATTACGTCGTCATGGAGACAAAAATACAGGCAGAAGCTCGACCAGAAAAGACGTTATTTTCTCTTTTCTCTGGCCAGGTTTACATGATGTTTTTTAATTAAATAGATCGAAATTCAAATATTCTCTGTTGAGTTTACATGGAAATTCCGAATTGAGGTTTACATGGAAAACTTTATTTAATTCCACTCGACGTCTGGGGGTGGGGAAGGGTTCTGATTGGACAGAGACACGAACGTATTTACGTCGACTGGAAGAAAACACACGATTCGATTTTTCAGTTTTTGATTTTGTGTTTAAATGAATAATGAAAAAAATGGATAACGGTAATAATTTCCTGTTTATGTGACTTAAATTGCAATGCCGGAGTGAACCAGGACTGAACCAGGACTAAAACAGGACTTAAAACAGGTCCGGGACCAGATAAAAACCCAACCAGGACTGAGGCCAGGACTGAGGCCAGGACTGAGGCCGGGACCAGACCAGGACTAGACTATGATTGAGACCGAGAGTGAGACCAGAACCAGACCGGGACCAGAAACAACGAGCATGTGCTGAACCACCGGAATTATTTTTCAAAAGAATAAACTACTTGATCGAGGAATAAATTAATTTGGCTTTAAAATCAGAATAAACCACCCACTTACTTTAAATCATTAAGTTTAATTCAAAATCATCATTTTCATTAAGAACTGTTTATATGGTCTTTTAAAAGCAGAATTATTATTATTTTTTATTTAAATTATTATTATTTTTTGTATTTAAATTTTGATATTTTTTGTTTTAAATTTTGATATTTTTATTTCTACTTTACATTTATTCAATTACAGGTGGTTTTATATCTCAAAAATACCTAGAAAAACAACATCCTGACTGTGAGCGGGGTCGCCTCTCCACAGATCTGACCTGTAACTTGGTCTGGTTTGGTCTCCTGCTTATCTCCACGGAGTTAGACATGTTTAATTTAATGCCATACTGTGAAACATTCCAGGCAAAGCAGTGACATCTCCATGGAGCAGAGAAGCAGCTCAAACTCTAGAAACACTAGAAAAGTTCCATAGTGTGTCTTTAAAAACACCCCCCTCCTTGTCCCCAGGCGCTGCGGTCCTTCTAATGACCACACAGAGACCAGGGCCAGGTCCAGGACCGGTCTTGGACTTGGACTCGAGCGTGGACCTCATTAGACCGGGTCTCTTTGGTTTTCCCACACGTCTTTAGCACTAACAAGACGAGCTCGTTTAGCGCCCTGCTCCCAATTATACCTGCGAGGAAGACGAGAGCGACGAGAGAGAAGAGGACGAGAGAGAGAGACGAGAGGAGAGAGGAAGACGAGAGGGACGAGAGAGAAGAGGACGAGAGAGAGAAGAGAGGACGAGAGAGAGGAAGAGAGACGAGAGGAGACGAGAGAGAGAAGAGGACGAGAGAGAGAGAGAGAGAGAGAGACGAGAGGAGACGTGAGAGAAGAGGACGAGAGAGAGAGAGAGAGACGAGAGGAGACGAGGAGAGAGAGACGAGAGAGAGAAGAGAGACGAGAGAGAGACGAGAGGACAGAGAGGAGAGAGAGAGAGAGAGAGGACGAGAGAGAGAGAGAGGACGAAGAGGAGACGAGAGGAAGAGAGAGAGAGAAGAGGAGGAGAGAGAGAAGAGAGGACGAGAGGGACGAGAGAGAAGAGGACGAGAGAGAGAAGAGAGGACGAGAGGACAAGAGAGAGAGGAAGACGAGAGGACGAGAGAGAGAGAGAGACGAGAGGACGAGAGGAGAGAGGAAGACGAGAGCGACGAGAGAGAAGAGGACGAGAGGAGAAGAGAGGACGAGAGGAGAGAGAGAGAGACGAGAGGGACGAGAGGAGAGAGAGAGAGAGACGAGAGGGACGAGAGAGAAGAGGACGAGAGAGAGAGAAGAGCGAGAGAGAGGACGAGAGAGAGAGACGAGAGAGAGAGAGAGGAGCGAGGGAGACAAGAGGGACGAGAGAGAAGAGGACGAGAGGGAGAGAGAGAGAGAGAGAGGGACGAGAGAGAAGAGGACGAGAGGGAGAGAGACAAGAGGGACGAGAGAGAAGAGGACGAGAGGGAGAGAGAGAGAGAGAGAGAGAGGGAGAGAGAGAGAGAACGAGAGGGAGGGAGAGAGGAGAGAGATGAGAGAGAGAGAGAGACGAGAGGAGAAGAGAGGACAAGAGGGAGGGAGAGAGGGAGGAGAAGAGAGAGAGGAGGGAGAGGAGACAGGAGAGAGGAGAGAGGGAGAAGAGGACGAGAGGAAAGAGGGAGAGAGAGAGAGGGAGGAGGGGAGACAGGAGAGAAGAAGAGAGAGAGGAGGAGAAGGAGAGAGGAAAGGAGAGAGAAGAGGAGAGAAGAAAGGAGAGAGGAGAAGCGAGAGGAGAGAGAGAAAGGAGAGAGAAGAGAGAGGGAGGGAGGAGGGGAGACAGGAGAGAAGAAGAGAGAGAGAGGAGGAAGGAGAGAGGAAAGGAGAGAGAAGAGGAGAGAAGAAAGGAGAGAGGAGAAGCGAGAGGAGAGAGGAAAGGAGAGAGGAGAGGAGAGGGGAGAGGGGAAAGGAGAGAGAAGAGGAGAGAGACAAGGAGAGAGGAGAAGAGAGAGGAGAGACGATAGAAGTAGAGAGAAGAGGAGAAAAAAGCGAGGAGACAGGAAAGGAGAGAGGAGCGGAGAGAGGAGAAGAGAGGGGAGAGAGGAAAGGAGAGAGAAGAGGAGAGAGAGAGAAGAAAGAGAGAAGAGGAGAGAAAAGAGAGGAAAGAGGAAAGGAGAGAGAAGAGGAGAGAGAGGAGGGAGGAGAGAGAAGAGAGGAGAGGAGAGAAAGAGATAGAGAAAAGGGAGGGGAGGAAAGAGAGGAGAGAAGGATACAGAAGAGAAGGAGAGAGGGAGAAAAGGGGGAGAGAGGAAGGAACGGAGGGAGGAGAAGAGAGGGAGAGAAAAGGAAAAAGAAGAGGAGAAGCGAGGGAGGGAGAGAAAGAGGGGGTGAAAGAGAGAGTGAGGAGGAGAGAGAGGGGGAGACAGAAGGAGGAAAAAGAGAGGGAGAGAAAGAGAGAAAGGGGAGGGAGACAAAGAGAAGGAGGAGAGAGGGAGGGCAAGAGACTATGAGGAGCAGAGAGAGTGAGCGAGAGGGTGAAGGAGAGAGAGAGTGAAAGTGAAAGAGAGTACAAAAAGAGAGAGAAAACGCATGGTATCAATTATGTGTATTTATAATTTGTTTTGAAAAAAAATTTAGATTTCATTGACTTTTCACGTCCGGTAATGAACTATCACGGAGTTACTCTTTACTTCCTCTTCAAACTATTATTACATTTAATTAAAACATTAAAACCTTATGTGTGTACATTTTATTCCCACGTAATTTGCATAATATTTACATTTTTATTCTGCTCTTAAGTTAATTTATGTTTTGAAATGTACTTTTATTTTGTATTGGCGCTTTTATTGTCTTACCTCCGGGTTAGTTTATGGTCGTCCATCCGTTTTCAGTCTCTACACGGAACGACAACATGTCTGAAGCGACCGTCTCTTTTAAACCCGTTTCTCATGTTATTTTCGACATGGACGGACTTCTACTCGGTACGAAAACTTTAAATTAACTTTAATACAAATAATATTTAAGTGTGCTTTTATTCTGCTTCGTCAAACGCTCAAAATTTACCGTAAACTTGCCGCTAAACTTCGCGACCCGCCAATCTCTGTTTACAAAAGTTCGAATCAAAAACTTATCTGTACTTTAGTTTAATATGTCAACATTTTGCTAATTTTTCATCACATATTTAAAATCATATATTACTTACGATTAATTCGGCTTGCTATTTGTGTATTTTAACGGTGTAGTTTAACGCAAAAGTGTCAAAGAAAGTTAATAATTCATTGAAAGTCCTAACAATGAGTAATGAATGAACCCGACGTAAAAGAACTATAAGATTCAATGGATTTACTGCTCGCTGTTCATTTTTACTGTACAAGTTAATAAAGTTATATTTTAGCCCTTCTTAATGTTGTTCAGAATGGCATTACAAGTCAAAACTATATCATTTTAAACGCGATTTTGTATTTTTCCCTTGTTAATCTTAATGGTTTACAATGGTCTTAAAATTCGCCATAATTTAAAGTAGTAATACACATATTTTTTCGGTATTTCTCATTGCTCAAACACGTCACGTTGGCTTTTATGGCGCAGATATTTCACAGTTGTCAGATGTTAAAATGTGATGGAGTTTGATGGACGAGTTGATAGTGAGAAATAAAAGGAGGAGGTCTTTATTTGAATCATGTTCTGGAGGAGTCCATAAAAATAAAATGTTTTTTTGGCACAGAACCAAATCTACTTTATAAATTTGACCGACGGTTTTACGACCGCGTTTGGAACAGTAACAGTTACAGAGGTTTTCTATTCTGATAAAGTAGTAGTAGTAGTAGTAGTAGTAGTAGTAGTAGTAGTAGTAGTAGTAGTAGCACAAACGGACCTGGTCACTGATCGAAATTAAAAAGTACAGTAGTATTAGTATTATTATTATTATTAGAAGTAGTAGTAGTACAACAGTAATAATACAACTACTACTACTTATTACTACTTCTGTACTTGACTTCCACACATCTGCAGATTAACTAGAGACATTTGACTCAGATAAACACTAAAACTAGGGACTAAACCAGGACAGACAAAGTAGTAGTAGTAGTACAAATGGACTTGGTCACGGATAGAAATGAAAAAGTACAGTAGTAGTCCCGAGTCAGTGTAGACTGAAGATTTTTATTCTACAGTACAAGTTTATTCCCATTCAAGTTTATTAAACTACTACTACTACTACTACTACTACTACTACTACTACTACTACTACTACTACTACTACTACTACTACTACTACTACTACTACTACTACTACTACTACTACTACTACTACTACTACTACTACTACTACTACTACTACTACTACTACTACTACTACTACTACTACTACTACTACTACTACTACTACTACTACTACTACTACTACACTCTTACTACTACTACTGTACGTGACACCTACGCATCTGGAGATTAATTACAGACATTTGACCTGCTCCCAACTCAGGTAAACAAAAAAAGTAGAGACTAAACCAGGTCAAAAAAGGTAGTAGTAGTAGTAGTAGTAGTAGTAGTAATAGTAGTAGTAGTTGCAGTAGTTGCTAGCAGTAGTACAAATGGACTTGGTCTCTGATAGATCTAGTATCGTAGTAGGGGTCCGTGTAGACCGGGTGTTAAGATTTTTATTATATGGTGCAGGGATATTCCTACTACTCACTACTACTCACTACTACTACTACTACTACTATTATGACTACTACTCCAACTACTACTGCAACTACTACTATGACTACAACTAGCTTTTTTGTCCTGGTTTAGTCCCTATTTTTGTGTTAACCTGAGATGGGAGCAGGTCAAATGTCTTGAGTTATTCTGCAGATGTGTGGGTGTCAAGTACAGTAGTAGAAGTATAAATAGTAGTAGTAGTATTAGTGTAGTAGTAGTAGTAGTAGTAGTAGTAGTAGTAGTAGTAGTAGTGGTATTAGTAGTATTAGTAGTAGTTGTTTAATGGGGAATATCCTTGTGCTATATACTGTAATAAAAATCTTCCAGTCTACACTGACTCGGGACCACTACTACTGTACTTCTTCATTTCGACAAGTGACAAGTTCCATTTACTACTACTAGTACTACTACTACGCTAATACTACTACTACTTGTACTGCTACTATTGTACTTGACACCAACACATCTGGAGATAAACTACAGACATTTGGTCTGCTTCCATCTCAGGTAAACACAAAAACTAGGGACTAAAACAGGACAAAAAAGCTACTACTACCACGACGACAACTACTACGACTACGACTATGACTATTACAACTACAACAACGACTACAACTACTATGACGATGACGACTACAACTACCACTACTTCTACTACTACACTAATACTAATACTACTTATACTGCTACTACTGTACTTGACACTCACAGATCTGCAGATTAAAACACATTAAACACAAGAATAAGGACTAAAGCAGGATAAAAAAGCTACTCCTACAACTACTAATATGACTACTACTACTACTAGGCATGTAACGATATCCAAATCTCTTGATACGATATTTATTGCGATCTTTAGTGTGAATATGCCACTTTTCTGTCATAATGGAAATAATTAAGATGTAAAAATGTTTGGTAACAGTTATTTAATCATGTAGATTGGACTGAAACAGAGCAAAGGATCATGGTCTATGTAGTTCACTCTGTTTTTGCACCATAACAACGAATTTAAGCAAAAAGACTTGTATTCAATATATTGTTATGGCCCATGATATCACTGTGACACTTTTGACGATACAATGTCATGATATTTTGGTTATTGTTACATTCCAAACCACTACTACTTACCTCTCCTCTGTATTTTTTTAAATTTAGTGTAAAATGGGATAAAACTGATGATGATTTTGTTTATTTCAAGCAAAGGAAACACCCCAAAAAACAACAAATAACAGCTAATATGTTGGATTTATCATATGTACAAGACGTCTTTAAAGTTCACTCTTTGCGGGAGGACGGGAGGGCATCTGACACATGTTTCTGTCCACAGACACGGAGCGGTTGTACACGGAGTCGTTCCAGCAGGTGTGTTCTCGGTTCGGTCGCGAGTACACGTGGGCGCTGAAGTCAAAGGTCATGGGTCAGAGGGCACTGGACGCAGCAGAGATCATCAGAGCCGAGCTGGACCTGCCCCTGTCTGCGGAGGAACTGCTCAAGGAGACCAGGGAGATACAAGAGAGGATCTTCCCCTCCGCTCAACTACTGCCTGGTACGAGTAATACTACTAATACTACTGCTGCTGCTGTTACTACTACTTCTACTATTATTATTGATACTACTACTACTACAAAAGAGAATATTCCCCACTACGCTATTACACTAGCTATTACTACTGTTACTACTACTCAGTCGTACTCAGTTGGTGCAGCGTCTGCAGTGATGGAGTCTCTGTATCGGACCGTTGTGGTGAAGAGGGAGCTCGATTTACTATCGAGAGCTATTTATTATTACTATTTACTATCTATGTTCCTCCCCTCACCTATGGTCATGAGCTCTGGGTAATGACCGAAAGTACGAGATCGGTGATACAAGTGGTTGAAATGAGTTTCCTCTGCAGGGTGGCTGGGCGCTCCCTTAGAGACAGGGTGAGGAGCTCAGTCACACTGGAGGAGCTCGGAGTAGAGCCGCTGCTCCTCCACATCGAGAGGAGCAGTTGAGGCTCGGGCATCTGTTCTGGATGCCTCCTGGACGCCACACTCAGGAGGTGGTCCTGGCATGTCCCACCGGGAGGAGGCCCCGGGGAAGACCCAGGACACGCTGGAGGGACTATGTCTCTGGGCTGGCCTGGGAACGCCTCAGGGTTCCCCCGGAGGAGCTGGAGGAAGTGTACGTGGAGAGGGAAGTCTGAGAGTCCCTGCTCAGACTGTTGCCCGTGGGAGAAAATGGATGGATGGTTATTACTACTACTATTATTATAAATACTGCTGCTAATGATAGCACTACAGGAGAGGATATTCCCCACTGCGCAACTACTGCCTGGAACTTATGCTGTTAATAGTACTACTATTACTGCTACTGCTGCTACTTCCACTACTGCTACTGCTAATGCTACTGCAGGAAAGGATATTCCCTAATGCTCAGGTACTGCCTGGTACTATTACTACTACTACTATAACCACTGCTGTTACCACTACTACTACAATTACTATTACTACTTCTACTGCTCTTGATCTACTGCCTGGTACTACTACTAATACTACTATTACTATAATTACTGCTGTTACTGCTGCTTGGCCTGTTCTCTTAAATGGGCAGCCATGTTTAGGCCCCATGGATTGCTCCTAACCAGGTTTTAATTTTCAATGTTTACTTACTTCATTAAATCTTTCATTAATTTTCTTGTCAAAGTTTATCAGTCGTTCTCCTTCACGTTCCCCTCTGTCTCCCCTCTTCTGTGCGTCTCAGGTGTGGAGCGTCTGATCCTTCACCTCAAACATCACTCCGTCCCCACGGCGGTGGCCACCAGCTCGGCCGGCGTCACCTTCGCCCTGAAGACGAGCAGACATCAGTCCTTCTTCTCCCTGTTCCACCACATCGTCACGGGAGACGACCCGGAAGTCAAGCATTCGAAACCGCACCCCGATCCCTTCCTCATCTGCGCCGCCAGATTCGCTCCGCCCGCCCACCCACAGAAGGTGAGCCCCCAAAACCCGACTACTCAAAGCTCTTAACACTGGACTGTCTAACTTCTCGGTTTAGGATCCGTCACCTGTTTGTTTCTATGGATACATCATTGCTCTGCCTGGAATGTTCCACAGTGTGACATTAAACCATCCGTGTATCGTTCGATCATTTGTTTTTCAAAATAAAACCAAAAATAAGAAAACTAAAAAACAAATATTTTTTTTTATTATTTGTCTCCAAAACTAAAATGAAAAAATGGATAAAGATTCGATTTTGTGTTTGTGTTGTGATCAGAACTGAGACCAGGACTGAGACCAGGACTGAGACCAGGACTGTGATCAGGACTGTGATCAGGACTGTGATCAGGACTGAGACCAGGACTGTGATCAAGACTGAGACCAGGACTGAGGCCAGGATCAAACCGGGACTGAGACCAGAACCAGACCAGGACAAGACCGGGACTGAACCAGGGCTGAACGAAGACTGATCCTAGGAGTAAAACAGGACTAAACCAGAATTGAACCAGAACTGAACCAGCACAAGACAAGGTCCCGGTCTCAGTCCCGGTCTCAGTCCCGGTCTTGGTCCTAGTCTGGTCCCAGACCCAATCCTGGTCTGGTCTCAGTCCCGGTCTCAATCGTGGTCTTGTTCTGGTCTGGTCCCGGTCTGGTCCTGGTCTAAGTCCTGGTCTAGGTCTGGGTCTGGTTCTGGTCTGGTCCCGGACCTGTTTTAGTCCTGGTTCAGTTCGGCATCGCGGTTTAAGTCACGTAAATGGGAAACGGATGTTTTTCCGATTATTCATTTAAACACAAAATCGAAAACTGAAAAAACTAATTATCTGTTATCTGTCATCTGTGTTTTTTATTTTGGTTTTGGAGACAAATAATGAAGAAAATAGTTGTTTTTTGGTTTTTATTTTGAAAAACGATTGATCATCCCGAGTTTGCAGTGAACATTTTGTATGTGGAGTGCCAAAGCAAAACCCCGATCCCTCGCTCCCCCTCAGTTACGAATTTAAAAAGTCAACGCCAAAGCGAAAGGCACCAACTGTTCACCAAGAAACACCTTCCACTGCAAAGAGACCAAGACGTGATGTTGCTGTAAAGTCGAACAAGGAAGTGCAGCTCAGTCTGTTTGTCTTCTGCACCTCTCGCTTAAGAAATGGGGTTTTACTTTGTTGTCACTCCACATACACAACGTTCACTGCAGCCAAATGTTTCCTTTTTGGTTCTTCCTGTGGATCAATCCTGCCCATCGCCTTCACCTTTCACTATTTTTCAATTCTGTTGGGAAGAGAAACAGTTTGAACGGAGGTTTGCAGTCACACACATCTGATTCACTTTCGCATTTATGGAGTTCGCAAACAAATTTCTCAAGCCGTTTTCCGCTGTTAGGATCCAACACCCACACAATTACGATGTCCGAATCCCAAAACTAAATTATGACGATATCAGAACCAGAAACAAGTATTAATTAGTTTATAAACGCTTTTTACAACTTTCAGAGACCAGAGCTGAGTTTTGACATCACTGCAATGCTAATAACTACTAACATGCTAACAGCGCACTTCCTGATTACAATAAAACGCTGTATAATTAGACGCAGACGGCACACAGCGGATTTATTTTGACCTCAAGAGCTCCTTATATAATATATTTGTACTGGGCAAGACACGTTTCTTTCGGAGGGAAAAAATCAGGTGAAGGTTTTTAACTTTGATTTACAACGAAATGCGTTTTGTTCCGGTTTTTATTACAGCGAGAGTTTGTACCACCGAGCGTGATGGAGGAAGGCAGGTTTATTGGCGGGCGTTTTGATTTACGCCTCTGTTAAAGCTCCAGATGGTTCGGAACATGAGAGCGTCTTTAATATTTGACGAGGAAACGTTTTTATGTGGAACTGGACAGAAGGAGTGTTTACGGGTCACCACAGGGTTAAGAAAACACAACGGGAGTAAACACACGAGGAAATAATTATGGGGTTTAAAGGAGTTTATGTTAAAGACGCGACAACATTATGAGCGTTGAGTTTGAGAGAAGGATTTAACTGGAGGGAATTTAACCAGGAACCAGGACTGAACCAGGGACTAAACGAGAGACTAAAGCAGGAGTAAATCGGGGACTAAACCAGGACTAAACCAGGTCTAAACCAGGTCTAAACCAGGACAAAACCAGGACTAAACCAGGACTAAACCAGGTCTAAACCAAAGACTAAATCAGAGACTAAACCAGAACTAAATCAGGGACTAAACAAGAGACTAAAGTAGGACTAAATCAGAGACTAAATGAGGGCTAAACCAGGACTAAACCAGGACTAAAGCAGGACAAAACTAGGACTAAACCAGAGACTAAACCAGGAGCTAATTTAGGACTAAAGCAGGTCTAAACCTGGACTAAACCAGAGACTAAACCAGAGACTAAACCAGAGACTAAACCAGAGACTAAACCAGAGACTAAACTAGGACTGAACCAGGGACTAAACTGGGACTAAATCAGAGACTAAACTCGGACTGAACCAGGAGTTAATTTAGGACTAATCCAGGACTAATCCAGGACTAAACCAGGGACTAAATGAGGGACTAAAGCAGGAATAAAATGGGGGACTAAACTAGAGACTGAATCAGAACTAAACCAGGTCTAAACCAGAGACTAAACTACAACTGAACCAGGTCTAAACTGGGTCTAAACCAGGACCAAACCAGGTCTAAACCAGGA